ACTCAAACTGTTTAATAAAATTATAGGTTTAATAATTAAATCACATATTTACTCTACACACACATATTCAGATTACAATTACATTACACAACCTAATACAAATTCTATGTAATGACCCAGCAGTTCTCTTACTTCGTCCATGAATAGTTCTCTGAATACACTACAGGAATTAGACGACACAGAAATTTCACAGTCTCAAGTCAGATTTGTCTTCAAACGCTGTTTTTAAATATGGAAATCTGAATATTATAGCTCAAAATATAACAACCTAAACCTTGCATCGATATAATAATTTTGACGGAGTGCTGGTTAGATAAAAATAAACCAATTCCCACTTTACATAGCTACTGTTCCTATTCGACAAATACTCAGTTAAATCAAAACGATGGTGTGGTAGTTTACATAAAGAATGTTTACAGAGCACTTGTCAAGGTAATAAATTTATACAAAGCTTCATGTTTACAAATAACTATAAATCAATACACAATTTTAGGTATATATCGTTCTCCTTCTATTACAAAAGCTGACGAATTTATTCACTCTATTGATTTACATCTAAATTCAGTTAAAACTAGTCATATTATTATAGCGGGTGACATTAATATAAATTTATTACCCATTATGTGTGAGCAAAGCTATGAAAGAAATAACAGAAATCTTTATCCGACCGCTTTGGCTACACATGAAATACTTCCAGGCCATCATTTTCCTACCAGAGGATTGCGTTGTTTGCACCATTTTATGCTAAAAATTGATAAAAAAAAGAACAACCGATTTCGTCGCAATTCTCGATACAACTATAACAGACCACAATATGACTCTACTTAGCCTAGTGGGCAACAATAGTTTAAGCAAATCTAATAAAACAAAATCCGTAACTGACTTTAATGCCGCTTTAAAAGTCTACATTTAAACGTTTTTGACGATTTATATTTAAGTACAGACCCAAATACTCTAACTAATATATTGATCGATAAAATATCTGTTGGATTAGTTAAACACACCAAAATTTTAGCTGTTCCTGGGACAAAGAGATTTATCAAGTCCTGGATGACAGAAGGTATACTTCGATTCATAAGAAACAGAAATGCTATGCAAAAAAAAACTAAAACAAGACCCAACTAAATAATAAATATAAAATAAATAAATATAATATTTTATCAAATCAACAATTTGGCTTTAGAAAACAACTTTCCACAGAAGACACTATTCTAAATTCTTTACAATTAAGGAGCTCAATGTGAATTCTTCTTATGCTCTTTAATTGTAAAGAATTTAGATAATGGCAAGAAGTGTATTACAGTATTTTTAGACCTGAGAAAGGCTTTTGAAATGGTCTTTATTCCTGATCTTTTAAAGTTTTTGGAGCTTATCGGCTTCAGGGATACTTCGTTAAACCTGATGTTCAGCTACCTACATGAGCGCACTCAGCGTGTTCATGTGGACGCTGTGTTGAGTGATGAAGAAAATGAGTCGTGCAATCTTTCTATTCCTCACGGTCACATCTTCTCCTGTGCTGACGATACAGCTGTTACTTTTTCGGGAGACACTTGGGAGGAAGTGAAAATGCGTACAGAATCGGGACTTAAAACTATAGCAGCCTGGTTAAATAACAACCTTATCTCATTAAACACGCATAAAACAAATTATATTTGTTTTGCTATTTACAATTACACTCAAACACCAGCAAACTTTAGCATTAAAATACACACTTGCCAAGACAGCCTGGTGGAGCCACATGTTTAAGGCTGCCGAAGTCTAGTTCCCCAGTCGAACATTAAACCTATTGCGCGAATTATTAATCTAAGTGGACTGTATCTACTAATTGATTCTACACTTATATATGCGGTACAATGCACTCGCTCTTCCCAAAAAAACGAACTATTATGCCAAATCGATGAAAGGAATCCTGCTTGATTAGGAAAACACAAAATTGGAGCGGGTTAAAACTACTATATCAAGCAGGAAAATACTATTAGGAAAATGTTGACTCACCGGGATGTTTCTTCTATGCGGTCGAGCACTATAACTGCGACTTCTGGAACACTCCGGAGAGAGGCGGTGCGCGACTATATCTCACACGAGGTGAGGCGGTTTTCCTGGAGCTCGACTGCTTCCAGACTAAAGCGGTTCTACTAGTAGTGTATTTCCAACAACGAGCGCGGCGGGAAGAGAGCTCTTTAGGACACTATTATCCTAGGCGGTGTGGTTTCAACGGCGAGCGCGGCGGGAAGAGGCCACGCGTCGGCCGCGCGTGTCTTATATATCCTCAGTTCCGATGATTACGTGATGTTCTAGAATCATCTTCTTTCCCCTCCCACCACACCACCCCGATGTGTCGATAGGAGGGTACGAATGATATCGTTTTGGAAAGGGATAACCGATTTGGCAGCCTACCGTCAAATAAAATAAATACGAATGGTTTTCCGCGCAACCACAGCCTATTTTTTAATTGTGACTGTGCTGTTATTGATAGAGTGGACCAAACAAAATATTTAGGTGTTATTATTGACTAGATACTGTCTTAGTATAACCATATTGAATTATTAACTGGCCGCATAAGAAAATTAATGTGGATTTTCAAAAAGTTAAGACATGTAACAACCAACGAATTACTGAACAAAGTATATACATCACTGGCTCAACCTGTTCTTACTTATTGTATCCCAGTATGGGGAGGAGCTTTAAAAACAAGATTCCTTGAGGTTGAGCGAGCTCAAAGAGCCCTGCTCAAGGTCTGCTATTTCAAACCATACCGATTCCCTAATGACCTTTATAATTTGTCTGGTGTCTTGTCAGTTCGAAAGTTATATATTTTATTCTTAATGCTTAAAATTCACAAATATTCTAGGTATAAACGTGACAAGACAAACAAAAGAACGACTTAGTTCAATATACCGATCGCTGTGTAACGACATTTGCTTCAGTACAATATGAGAAAAGGGCAGTATACTTATATAATAAAATAAATAAAATCTCTATTTCCCGCATTCACTCGTCGTTCTATATTCTTATCATATCTCCCATCCCTGCTAAATATGCAGCCCAAATATACAAACTCATCTACTTGCTCGATCAACTCCCCTTCCATACTTATTTCACAAATCGTTTTACTTTCTTCTCTTTCAAAAACCATAATCTTCGTCTTACTTGCGTTCACTTTCATACCCCTTTCTTTTAATGATCTGTTCATTAATGTAACCATCATTTGCAACTCGGCCGCCGACGACGCCAGGATAACTTTATCATCGGCGTACAAAAGGCATTTGACGGTTAACTCACCCATTCTTAATCCGCATTCTTCAACTTTCAAATTTTGCAAACAACTGTCTATAAATAGGTTGAACAGCCACGGGGAAGCCACACAGCCCTGTCTGACACCTTTATGGATGTCAAACCAGCAGTCTATTGTGAAGAGTCAAAATGTGTCAAAAAAGGCACGTATGGCAATTCACAATGCTGTGTTGGTTCCTACTTTAACGTATGGTAGTGAAAGTTGGGTGTGGCAGAAGAAACACGAGAGTAGAATCGACGCAGTAGAAATGCGGTCCTTAAGGAGTATGTTAGGGCTGAATCTGAACGACAGGGTAAGAAATTGTGTAATAAGAGAAGAGTGCGGTTTGCAAGATGATGTTGTGACCAGGATTAAGAAAGTAATGCTACGGTGGTTCGGTCATGTGGAAAGAATAAATGAGTAAAGAGTGACAAAGAAAATTGTGTTGCGGAAGTGAATGGCAGAGTCGGAAAGGGACGTCTTAGGCGAAAATTTATCGACCAAATTGGCGATTTGTTGAAAACGGGCCAAATTAGGAGTAACCTTTAACCGACGAGCATGTATGCGTAGGTGTATGGATGTGAAGGAGGCGAGAGAGGTGTGTCAGGATCGTGCCAAATGGAAGTCTGTAGTCTCTGCCTACCCCTCTGGGTGACAGGCGTGAGTGTTTATATTATGTTATGTAAATAAAATCTTAAGCATATATCCATTGCATAGCATAGAAGTTAAAAAGAAAACAATAGAATGGTTGGGAATTAAACTTTAGAATTACAACGAATCCGAAACACTTTTAGACAAAATTACTTAACTTTTTATACATAATTAATAATTTAATAAATATACCATACCTCAACATGCACACACCACATACACATACACTACACAATCACACAACTAACACCAACGGATATTTTATTGTAAAAATACTACATAAGTTTAACTGTAAGTCAAAAATCTATGTGTTACCCAAGTTCTAAACACTAATTTACATAAACAAAGGACGGGAAGAGCGGAGCCTCCTAACACAAGTTTCCGAAATAAAAAGGAGTGTTCCAATAATGTATTTAATTATTATTAAAAGTATTACTGGTTTGAGAATAAAGATTTTTTTTATTTTTTATTTTTTTTTGATAATCTTTCCAACAATCGACCCAACAATAGACCCAACAATCGACCCAACAATCAACCCAACAATCAACCAAACAATTAACCAAACAATTAACCCAACAATCGACCCAACAATCGATCCAACAATCGACCCAACAATCAACCCAACAATCGACCCAACAATCGACCCAACAATAGATCCAAAAATCGACCCAACAATCGACCCAACAATCAACCCAAAAATAGACCCAAAAAATGAACAAGCAATCGACCTAACAATCGACCGAACAATGGACCGAACAAAAGACCCAACAATCAACCCATCAATCGACCCAACAATTCACCCATCAATCGACCCAGCAATCGACCCACCAACGAACCCAATGATCGACCCAACAATCGACCCAACAATCAACCTAACAATCAACCCAACAATGAACCCAACAATCGACCCAGCAATCGACAACATAAACAATCGACCCAACAATCGACTAATCTACTTGACAATCGAACCAACAATCAATCCAACAATCGACCCAACAATAGACCCAACAGTCAAACCAGCGAAACAATCGACCCAACAATCGACCCAAAAATCAACCTAACAATCTACTTGACAATGGACCCAACAATCGACCCAACAACAGACCCAACAATTGACCCAACAGTTAAAACAACAATCGACCCAACAATCAATCCAACAATCAACCCAACAATCGACCCAACAATCGACCCAACAATCGACCAAACAATCGACCCCGCAATCGACCCAACAATCGACCTAACGATATACTTGACAATCGACCCAACAATCGACCCAAATATCGACCCAAAAATCAACCCAACAATCAACAACCCAACAATCAACCCAACAATCGACCCAAAAATAGGCACAACAATCGACCTAACAGACGACCTAACAATCTACTTAATAATCGACCCAACAATCAACCCAACAATCGACCCAACAATCGACCAAACAATCGACCCAGCAATCGACCCAACAATCGAGCTAACGATATACTTGACAATCGACCCAACAATCGACCCAAATATCGACCCAAAAATCAACCCAACAATCAACCCAACAATCAACCTAACAATCGACCCAAAAATAGGCACAACAATCGACCTAACAGACGACCTAACAATCTACTTAATAATCGACCCAACAATCAACCCAACAATCGACCCAACAGTCGATCCAACAATTGAACCAACAATCGACCCAACAATCGAACCCGCAATCTACCCAACAATCGACCCAACAATCGACCTAATAATCGACCCAACAATCGCCCACAACGACCCAAAATCGACCCAACAATCTATCCAACAATCGACCCAAAAATCGACTCAACGATCGACCCAACAATCGACCAAACATTCGACCCAAAAAATGACCAAGCAACGCAATCGACCCAACAATCGACCCAACAATCGATCCAACAATCGACCCAACAATCGAACCAACAATCGACCCAACAATCGACACAACAATCGACCCAACAATAGACACAACAATCGACCTAACAGACGACCCAAAAATCGATCCAACAATCAACTCAATAATCGACCCAGCAATCGACCCAACAGTCGAACCCAACAATCGACTCAACAATCGACCCAACAATCGACCTTACAATCGACCCAACTATCGACCCAACAATCGTCCCAACAATAGACACAACAATGACCGACCTAACAATCTACTTAATAATCGACCCAACAATACACCCAACAACCGACTCGAAAATCGACCCAACAATGGCCAACTAACAATCGAACCCGCAATCGACCAATACCCGCAATCGACCCAACAATCGACCCAACAATAGCGACCCAATAATCGACCCAACAGTCGATCCAACAATCGACCCGAAAAATCGACTCAACGATCGACCCAACAATCGACCTAACATTCGACCCAAAAATGACCAAGCAATCGACCTAACAATCGACCCAACAACCGACCAAACAATCGACCCAACAATCGACCCAACAATCGATCCAACAATCGACCCAACAATCGACCCAACAATCGACCCAACAATCGACCCAACAATAGACACAACAATCGACCTAACAGACGACCCAAAAATCGAACCAACAATCAACTCAATAATGGACCCAGCAATCGACCCAACAGTCGACCCAACAATCGACTTCAACAATCGACCCAACAATCGACCTAACAATCGACCCAACTATCGACCCAACAATCGTCCCAACAATCTACCCAACAACCAACCCAATAATCAACCCAACAATCGAACTAACAATCGACCCAACAATCGACCAAACAAACGACCCAACAATCGACACATTGTTATAAATAAGCTATTATGTTTGTCAGATATAGCTTGTCATACATTCATCACTATCAAATATCAACACTAGAATTAATAAAATTAAAACTGTTGAACACTTACAACAGTCATTGTTGTCACACTATAACGTGATTGGCATTGTCACTTCATATGAGTTCTTGAGAATTTATTTGAAAAATAACAAACAAAATAACACAATTGCAACTATTTAGTTGTGAATTCTCTAGTACCATTTTACTTGTTGAATTGTGATTTCATTTTCATTCGCAATTCGCATGACATATTTCCTAGCTGTCCGATTTGATGTTGCAACATAACTATCATAAATACAATGAAACGATATCGATTTTATTCGATTAGTAATTTTATAAATAACATATTTGAGGCCGTTTACTACACTACTACTACTACACGCTTTTTAAAATATATTTTCTTTTATTTATTTAAATTCTTTTTTAAATGTATTTTTAAGAACTGTTAAAATGTGGAGTAGCGTATTGTTATGCTCAGTTCATGGTAAATCAGCTAAAAATTCACTTATTTAATTATCATCACATGATTCCATTTTAAATGTATTGTTAAAACAGATAACAATAACAGTTAAATTGTGCAGAAGCATTTTGTTATACTTTAAAGAAGTCATAGTAAATCAGCTAGTAATTCCCCTGTTTAATTATCATAACATCATAATATCGATAGCGATTCAATTAATAATTTCATAAAAAGAGAATAATATTGGAGGCGTTTTAACTTTTGCTCGCTTTTTAACATGTATTTTCCTTTATCTATTTAAATTCTATTTTAAGTGTTTTTTTAAGAAAGTAAAGTAGCGTTTTGTTATGCTCTAAAAAATTCATGGTAAATTAGCAAGAAATTCACTTGTTTAATTATCAGAGCATGATTTCATATTAAATGTATTTTTAAGAACAGATAAGAATAACAGTTATAACTGTGCAGTAGCGTTTTGTTATACTGCATAGAATTCATTGTAAATCAGCTAGTAAATCGCTTATTTAACTATCATAACTACAGATGTGTAGGCGGTTGTTAACGTTTTCAACCAAGCCGATAACAACGGTTGTTTTTGGCTTGAAATTGATAAAAATATTTTTTGTGCAATACGTTTTTCTTTTTCGTAATGAATAAACCACAGTAAGCCCTATAATGTAGATTAGTCCTTTTTTGAGCTACAAGTAGCTTATTTTCAAGAACCGTAATTACAATTTTGTCCTTTATACAAACACTAGAAAAAACAAAGTAAATTTTTGCTGGCGATAATGATAGTGGTATTTTAACTCGATGTAGAATCTATGCTTGCTACTACGGAACTCTTCTTGGCTCGACCAACTTTTAGTTATATTTTATTAATTATTTTTTTGTTTAAGTGGAGCTCTCTTATTTTAGATTTATTACCTATATCTAAAGCAATCAACCTAAGTAGGTGAAGTGTGTAAATATGATTGTTAAATTGTAAAAATAATAATAGGATTTGTTCATCCTAGGTAGGTATTTACTTTTATTTATTTAGAAAGTATTAATATCACAAATAATTATTTTAATAATATAATTTTATCACACAACTAACGCCCTCATTAGCAATGTAATGGTGAAAGAATTTTCAAAATCGGTCAAGTATTTTTCGAGATTAGCTAATAAAAACACATTCATAGAAAGTAGCGCCCTCTATAATAAAATGTATCCTACATTCGATATCTATAATTATACATAACATTATAGCGGTGAAAGTATTTTACGAGTTTAGCTAAATAAATATATTCGTTGAAAGTAGCGTCTTCTATCATAAAATGCATCTTACGTTTCACAGTCATAATAGAATTGTAACGATGAAAGAATTTTTTAAATTGGTCAAGTAGTTTTTAAGCACCATTGCAAAAAGCGATTCGGATTAGCCACCCGCACACACAGTAAAACATAACCATCCTTTTTTGTCTGTAGTCGGATAAACAACTGTTTCACTACGGTTGCGTATCGGCTGCTTTGGATAAATATCCGTTGTCAATGGTTGCTTTACACCTATATCATAACATCATAATAATTATCTAAAAGTTATATTAGCATTGTAATAATGACACCATAAATATCGATTAAGAAAAGGGAATCGATTTTAATGAGATTTGTGACTGTCAACATTTTTATTTTATCCACAAACTAATGAATTACGCATTTACCTAATTTTATTTTTATCATTTCAGTACCTTTTCTTGTGCAAAAATATTCCCATCTTTTTAGGATAAATGAATACCGCGATTAATAACCATAAATAATATATATATATATATATATATATATATATATATATATATATATATATATATATATATATATATTTAACAAATGCATATTTTGGGCGTTCCATGGCCGAAAATGGGCATCCCCCTTTCGCACTCATCATAAAAAAATATTTTCGAGTATTAAGTAAGCGGAAACCGTTGCCCTCTCCACGAAACTACCTTAAATATAAATAAGCCCACATTAATGGATACCACCCATGAGAAGCCGGAGCGGGTCTCCAGTCAGTAATAAAATCCGTTACTATGATATAACACATCAAAACCAGAGAAACACACGCACATACACATAGTAGTACTAAGACGCATATTATGGCTGTAGCAGAAATGGGTCGTCTCGACCGGGGAAAGATCATGCTTTCACAGAATACCAGCGTAAAACAGCAGCTTAATTCTGTTGAATTTCGTATGTTAAGTGTAGATAACCGGAGACCATTCTTACTGGAAACGAGGCATTCCATCCTAGTTCTCAGGGGTGACAACGTATCTGCATTTTGATTCTTAATTGAGGATGTGTAGATGACTATGGATCACAGCGTCCACTAAAGGTTCCCAAGACATGTCGGTTCGATAAAACCGTCGGTGGTAGCCGATTCCACAAAAAAAAAACATGCAAGGGAGTAAACTCCTGGTAAATACACACTCGTGCACTTTGGGTTCGTGTGTGTAAAATCGTGCACTATAATACTATGACCGCGATTCCGTTTGGAGCTTATTATAATTATCATATTATCATACCCCTACAAGTTTAGGTCGCCAAATAGTAGTGCGTGCTCTGTGTTTCGGTCTTAAAGGTAAAATTTCGGGCTATGAGACATTCCAGGTTTGTGTGCTTTCGGTGCTACATGGGTGAAATAGCGTCAACTGATTTGTAAGTGATTTTTGAGACGACAATAAAAGTAAGAGATTCTCAATTTGACAGTATGAGAAGTATGTTTGGCTATTTTTTTATTCTTTTTTTATATTCCAAACATTCAACAGAGTTTAGCGTAAGTTTTCCTTGGCCAGATAAATACCCCCCCCCCTCCAAATGAGTTCCCGCCTTTTCAAGGCGGGCGAAGGTTGGTCACCCGATATGAACTAGGAGGAAGCCACATGGCTAGCCCGAGGTGACCACTCAGAGTGAGCTTGACGAGCCCACTTCGGATCTGAGTTGGTGGACTGCGGCTGGAGGGGCCGCCTCCTACCGCAGCAGCCGAGTTGAAGTCGCGAGGGAAGGGGAGTCTTGGTACGGCGATATGCAACTCGCCTTATACCCCGCGACTCTGGTGGGGCCGCATCGCTGATACGTTAGTGGTGAGGATGTGGGGGGAAGGAAATGACGGTATTGCGAGGCGCCGGTCTTTCCTATTCTTTTGGTTAGTTTTGCTTCCGAGTTCACGTTTTTTTCTGGCCCCATGGCCTCCACGTATCAGGCTCGGTGGTCCGTTACGCCGGTGGATTTGAGGCCGCGGAGGAAGGCGCACCTTGTTGTCCTGGTGCGCCTTACCTGGGAAGGAACAGGAAAGAAGCACTCCACTGACTGGCGCCCAGTGGAGTTCTCCTCCCCCTGTTCCGAGTTCCGAGGCGCGCATGTATGCGAAAACGTTCCCGTGACCCTGCCAATATGAGGTGACGGTGGAACACCGCGGGATTTAGTCTGTGTAAATTCGACATAACTCATCCTAGCCCAGCGATTCGGGTATGCGTAGGCATTTCCTCAAGTAAACAAAAAGGCCAAATAAATATAATAACAAAGGATGAGAAATTTAAGGAGATCCCATTTTCTTTATGGTTTGAGCGCCATTTACTAAAATTGCTTTGCGGGTCATTTTATGATCGAGCTCATGTGAATGTTTGTTGAATAAATGACTTTTCGCAAATATTTATCACATCTATGCTTTTTAAATCAGCTTAATCTGATTCCGACAATTGCCGATTCCCGAATTGGATTGCTCGCAATTTAAGGAGAACGCTGAAATCATAATATATCTATGTATAAACCAATTGTTGTCCGTTAGTCTGGCTAAAAATTAAAAACGGCTCAACCAATTTTGATTAAATTT